TCCCCTTGTGAAGAGCAGGTAGGTTGGAGAGCCAGGTCACACATTTGAAATGATAGATCCCCCAGGGGGGGATGCTGCAGCTGATGGTGGGGGTTTGGGGGAGCAGAAGGACCGTGTTGGATCCGTTCCTGCTTTACCAAGCTCAGCATTTTAAGTGGGAAATGCTGGGTTAAAATTCACATTGAATATTTAGGTGTAGGGCTTTGCTATAGGCAACAAGATGGAGCAAATTGTTTTATGTATTGAAGTGCAAGTGAAATTACTACACAACACTGATTTTCATTTGTAATGTATATAATTTTTTTCCCATTCTTCACTAGCTCAGTAATATGTTTTTATGACTACCTGGCGCTAAGGTCTGGTTCAAGAAGGTTGTATGGAAAATTGAGGTGTTGAATAGCCTTTAAAAGAAGAGATTGCTGTTAATTATAAAGGGAAAAGTTTTCATACACTTGATAATTTTGCCTGTAAGCCTACAGTGGGCTCTTGTTGTCTGAGCTGCTTTATCTACATATGAGAGGGCTTCCTTTTCCTGCACTTGGAGGTAAAGGGGGACCTTCTGTGAAGGCTTTGAAAAGCTCTTAGGCAGAAATGTAAAGAATTCAGAACATGTAACTGTTGTTAAGTGAGATAAAAGCTTTTGTCTTGGGGGAAAAGTAGTATCATTCAGCATCTCCTTGTTGGAGGTTTTTTTTTTCCTGCAAGAAGAAATTCTACATTTCTTCCTTTGCTGGTCAATCTTGGGTTTTTTTGTAAGAATTTGCCATAGAGCCAGCAAACTGCTGCAACAGTAGGAGTTTTCCAAGAAAGCATAACTGTTCCGGCATCCATAAAACTATGGAAAAGCAAGCTCTTTCCTCGTGCATTTGAGGCACAGTTTAATACTCACTTAGTCTGGACTCTCGGTCATATTCTTATTTAATGAGGAAATGGAGGAGGTTGTTCAGGTTCTGTGTTGGAGCGTGTCAAACCTCAGGAGAAGCTGCTGTCTGTACGTAGAGATCTGGCACTATGTTTCCTAAACTTAAACCTTAGTGAGGCTTGTAGAACCAAAGAGTGGGCTACCAAAAGTGTCCAATTAAGACTGATGAGATGTGTGTTTGATGAACACTGCTGTGTGTGATGGGGCAGAGCAAGTCTTTGAGTGTAGAGGCTTCATACAACGTGCCAAGGACTAACCACTGGAGAAGACCTTGGCACCTGCTCTCTTCATAGAATCATAGAATGGTTTTGGGTGGGAAGGGACGTTAAAGACCCACCAGCCCAAGGTGCTCCAAGCCCCCTCCAACCTGCCCTTGAACCCCTCTAGGGATGGGGCAGCCACAGCTTCTCTGGCCAACCTGGGCCAGGCTCTCCCCACCCTCCCACCAAACAAGTTCTTCCCCACAGCTCAATCTCCCGTCTTGCAGTTTCAAACCCTTCCCCCTCCTCTTGGGGCTCCCCTCCCTGATCCAGAGTCCCTCCCCATCTCTCCTGTAGACCCCTTTAGGTACCTGTAGGCTGCTGGAACCAGTTGCAGAGGGGCTGTGGTGTCTCCATCGGTGGAGATACTTGAAACATGACTGGGCATCACCCTGACCAGCCTCCCCCAGGTCACCCTGCCTGATCTCCAGAGGTCCCTGCCGACCTTCACCGTGCTTCTCTGGCTTCAGCTCCAGTCCAGCGGTGTTACCCCATGCAGAGTTGACCAGCTGAATATTTTGAAAATTCTCCACCATCAACTGCTCATTAGGGGAAAGCTTTGATGGTAGAAAGCGAATCATCTCAACTCTTGGTCAGGCAGAAAATAGAAGATGCTGACCTGCTGTTGGCTGGCTAGAAGTTGTGGTGAGGAGGAGCTGGTTTTTTAGGGTTTGGATGAAGAGATGCTGCACTGGTGTACGCTGAGGGGACGGCTGGTGGGACAGGGAGCAGGTGGCATGATGCAGTACTTAATTCTGGTTGAGAAGTCGCTTTGTCTTCTGATAGTAATCAGCAGGGAGCATGTTATGAATTAAGTGGTGTATAACATAACACACTTTCTAACCAGGATAAGGAGCAGCTTGAAAAAATGTGGCCTTGGGGATCTTGAGGGTGTTGTGGGCATTTAACATTCGCTCTGCCCAACTTGTGTTATGAATGAAGAGCAAATAAATGATGGTGCTTTTTCTTGATGAGATGGTAGAAGTGGAGGACGCTGACTCCGGCGACTCGTCCTCACCTGGCTCGTGGTGCTACATCAAGATTTTCAGGCTTTGGGTCAGGCTGTCTCAGCAGTGGGGCTGTTGTACCTATGGATGTCGTGATATTCACTCATCCCCACCTGGTTGTGAGGTGTCCTTAGTCCCTTAAACAGCGTAATCTGCTGTGCTTCACAGCAAATTACCAATTAGACAATGGCAATTGAGTTGTTTCAGCGATTGCTTTTTCTCCTCTGTCTGACACAAGAATTTAGGAAAAAGATTCTAGGTGTGGGGTGTCCTTCTGGGACCTCTGCTCCCCCAGCCCACCCCCGGGTGACAGTGACCATGGGAAGTGCCGCAGAGAAGCCTTGGAATTGGATGTGTCTTTGTGAGAAAGCAGCTCGACTGAAATCACGCTTGTGTATGGCTGAATTTCTGTAATCCTGGCAATAATCATATTTTACGCTCTGTAAATGGCAGGAAGCACTAGAGAATCTCCGCAATTGCTTAATGTGCAACTTAGTTTGGAAATGAAGAGACTTTAAAAACCAAACCATGCTCTTTGGAGCCTGCTGTTTGCTTTAGTTTCTTACGATCTCTCTGAACTTCATTGTGTTTCTGTCTCTTCTACCTGAAGTGAACCAGGAAAGCACCATATTCTATTGCAAGGGTAAGGGGACATCCTCATCTCCTCTTGTTTCCAGGCGAGCTTTGCCTGGGGTTTGCAGTCATGCAAAAGGAAAGAAAGACCCTGAATGGATTCTCCTTCAACACTTGTCCTACAATCAGAGAGTTTGTTTTGCTTGAGCTAATATTTGTTTGCAAAAATGACTTTGAATACGAACGGTTCCTGCTTTTAACTTTTTAAGAGCACTGTTGTAGCATAAAGTTAATAAAGACTTCAGAATTCAATATGCACCCTCCCAAAAGCAAATACTACCTTTGGAATGCTTCGTGTTTTTTTCTTAATGAACCCTGATGTTTCACATCAGGTGAAGTGAGGGAATATGAAGTTTGAATATTGAGCATTTTCCGCTGTGACCTCTACAACTTTTAAACATATTCCTATATCCCATATGTCTGTTCTCTTGTGGGGTACCGTATTTTAGGTTCTCTGTGTGACAAAACCTTTCTATTCTGCAGTAATTCAGTGTGCAGTGTTTTGGCATTGCAAGGTCTCCAGGCAGTGAGAGAGCATTTCTCATCCCTCCCTCTCCCAAAATCCTGGAACTTTCCTGCTGGTGTTGGACTTCAGGCAAACGAAAATTGCCTACAACTAAGAAAGTGATAGCGATTCTTATGGAAAGATGTAGAAAGATGCTAAAAGTTACGAGCAAAAATATTTATCCAGGTTTTCTATTTAGTCATTAGGCCAAAATACTGGTGCTTCTGTTGCTAAAAGTCTTTTTATCTTGCTAAAGATTATTTTTAGTTGCGTTACTGGAGGGGTAGGGAAATAGAACATTGTAAAATAGTCCTGTGGGCATTAAATGAAATTTAATCTGGAATTAAAAGCATAATGGCTGTGCTTAGGGTTTGTCTTCCCTCTTATGCTCTCTCCCATGTCGCTGGAAGTAGATGCTTAGAAAAGAATATAAAACAAAAGGGCAGCTGTGATGCCTCCCCCAGCTTCTCAATATTTGAGGCTTACAGAAATCCTGAGCCAGATATGTATAAAAACCCTTAATGGATTTCTTACCTGTGTGAACCTATCGGACCTTCTCCTCTGGTATTTTTTCCATTAAAGTCAGTGAGAGTGAATTGTTCCAAATGTCAAATGACCAACTGGTTTTAATGGGCAGCCTGGGTTTAGGTCTTGTATTGAATTCTCTGGAGCTTTCCTGTGGACAAAATGACTTATTTCTTATGTTTTTGGTCTCTTATTGTCTCAGCCTTATTCAGGAGAAGCCAGGAAAAATGTATTTATTTCCTCTCAGATAAAAATATAAAAAATCTTGGATAATCATAGCTTTGGACTGTAAGGAAAAATAAAATGTCTTGCATCCAAGCCTTTTGCTTTTCAGAATGCTCTAGAGAACCACATGCTTTGCATTTAGCCTGAGATTTAAAAAAAGATGACTTTTTGAGGGTAGGCGGCTTCTGCTCCGTCTTTCCTAGAAATTCGATTTGGGCTTTATTTTAATGTATTACCTTAACCTTTTCTTAGGGCTTTTTATATTGCGGGCTTTTTTTTTTTTTTTATACTTTGTAAATCAAATTGCCAGTTGAAGTTGCCCGGTTCTGACATCTGCCATTCAGTTTGCACTTGGCAAACAGCCTCCTCCAAAGTCTTACATTTGATGAGAAGCGTTTGCCTTCGTTTCTGTTTTACCATGTGGTGTGCTCCGGCTTCATCTTCTGAACTGTGGCAGCTTATGCCTCCCTCCCCCTCGTTCCTCATGCAGAAAAAAAAGTAACTTTCTTTAGATTGTCTGAGCAGTAAAGCCTGTTCTGGGCTCTTCCCTCCTCCCCGGTGTGTTGCTAATAGTGAAAGCGCTGGAAGTGCTTCAGTGGGTGTCCGAGAGCCCTTCCCTTAAGCCCTCCTTGCTGACAGGGAGCCTCAATCCTTCTTTTCTAATTGGCATTTTGGCATCTCCTCGGAATACGGCTTAATTCTTTTACTGCTAAGCTCCTTTTCTTCCTTCCTTTCAGCCCCTTTGGTTCCTAGCTCTGTTCCTGCCTGTTCTCTCTGACCAGCGGCGGGGCCCGACGTCTGTTGGGCTGGTGTTCCTTCTCCTTCTCTACTTGTGTTTTCAGCCCTTCCTTCCCCCGGGCAAAAACCAGTCGTTTGATCAAATTGCCTGTAGGCTCATCACAAGCGCTCAGTGTGTGGTGTCTGTTTCTCCCTTCTGAGGAGGTACAATGCTGGAAATGTTTCTAAATCAAATCGGAAATGTTTCTAAATCAAATCAGTAATGTTTGTTTTCCTTTAATTTATGTATTTTCCTCACCCGCTTGCTTTTTTTTTCCCAATTTCCAGCTGGATACAGTGCCTTTGCTGAAGAGTTGCACATGCTGGAGTTGCCTGTCCCCCTGATGTGTTCCGGGATGGCAACCAGGTGACGACAGTTGAGGATGACCCTGACTGAAAAACTGCGCGAGAGGATATCGCGGGCGTTCTACAACCACGGGCTCCTGTGTGCTTCCTACCCCATCCCCATCATCCTCTTCACAGGGCTCTGCATTCTGGCCTGCTGGTGAGTCACACTGAGTACCTGTGGTCACAGGGGGCTGCTGCTTTAGGGGTTTTCAGAGCAATGCCACGAGCAGGTTTAGGTTTCCCTGTCTTGTGGGCTATGGCAGCAGCTCTTGTATTTACCCTTTCATTAAATGTAGTAGATTTTTGTTATCTTTTTGCGTGGGACAGAAGACAGAGATGAAGTGTCTCTGTGTGGTTAAATAAGTTAATAGTAAAAACTGATTGAATAAGTGAAGTAAAGCAATAAGTAAGATAAAAGTAATCCCCAAGCACCTGGTGGTGGAATCCAAAGCCATAAATTAATAATGGGGAGAAGGAAAGTTGATCTTTCCCTCCATACTTGCTTATTCTCTTCTCCCTGGAGTTTGTACTCTTCTTTTTCAGCCCTTGCCTTGGCACACAGGTGTTGTTTGTTCTTGTAAATTCTCCATTCTCTTTATGGATTCTAATTTGGGTATGAGTTGCATATCCAAATGAATATATTTTCATGATCAGAACTGTTACATGAGCCTCTTAATCGTTTCCAGTGAGGCATCATTACTGGAGTTGAGAAAACTTTTGTGCTCAGATTTGGGCACAGACAGATTCTGTCATCAAGGGTTTAATTCTAAGCATCTTGTCTCTTCTGGGAAAATAAAGCCCTATATGATGATGGACCCTACTCCTCTGCTTTCAGAAGAGCTCCATGTGTGTTGATAGAGATACAGACATAAGTTTTTCTTGGAGCATCACTGCGGATAAAGACAGACTTCTGTCACATCTACTGTTACAAAATTATTGGAGTGATTATTTTCATGTATTGAAGGCCTGTGAGATCACTTCTCATGCCTATGTCTCTTCAAGGTTGTGAGCAGCCATCAAGGCATCGCTTTCCTGATTTTCACTGCTGCTCATGAATTCTTTTAACTGTTAATGATAAGTTTTATTTTCAGATCTCTTGTTCTATAGAAATATGAAGCCTCTACAAGGTCCGTGCGAGTGGATTCTACATCCTGCTTATCTTTGTTGATGTGGTTGCAGTCTTATCTGTCTTTTTGCTCTAGCTTTTGCCTTCAGCTTTGCTGCTTTCACGTGTCAGGCTTGCATTAGCCAAAACGGAGTTCCACCATGAGCCCTGAACCACAAAATCACCACGTCACAGTGCTCATGCTGGCTAATTGCTTCACCAGCACTTCCAGTGGTATTAAGCTCCTATTTTCAGTTATCTTTCAGGTGCTGTTGCTGGGGTGAATGCAGAAATGCGAGGCAACTGCTACAGTATAAATTGTTTATCCCTACAAATGTTGCATTTTGGGGAGGGCTCAAAACAAAAACTCCTTTTCCTAAATTGAGGATTTCCCAGAGAAGAGGAAATCTGATCTAGGATTGCCAGCAGCTGTCCTCATTCTGCTCAGGAACCTTGTGCCCACTAGGTCAGAACTTTTATCACCGATTCATCTCATCTACCTCACTGTAAAACAGGAGTGAGAAATGTGCTGAAATTGGGAGAAGGAACCTGGTGGAAAGAATCAAGGTCCAGCTTCAGGGTAGAAGGTCACTTGGGTGATGTTTCCGTCCAACGTGATTGATAAGGGACGCTCAGGACCATGTGTGTAGTGATGCAGATTAGTGTCTGCAATTAAGTATTAGGAACTGTAAGCCTTCCTAACGAGGAAAGAAGGTATATGAGTGATCAAGTGGTTTCATACTGACTTTTGTCAATATCCTCCATGTTGCTGAGAAGGTTAGTCCTCATGCCTGAAGAAGTGGGTGGAAAAAGGAGAAAAGGTAATAGAGCAAAAGGGAAGCATTCTCTATTCTTCAGCCTTAAACATGGTTAATAAATAAATCCTGTTGGATCCAGCCTTGCTTGCTTTAACTACATCCTGAATTCTTGAAAGGGAGAGAGGATAAATGGAGTTTTCTCTTCTACCTGTATGCACCCAGAATCAAGGAGAGCTTGTAAAATTCTACTGCAGAAGGAATTGACTCTGTTGTTGTTGATTTCCTCCTTCCCACCTCAGTAAAACATGACCATCTTTGTGTTCAGATAACCTTTTAATAAATGAATGACATAAATGATATGGTCCAGAATTTATCCAGTATCAGTCCTGGTTCTCAATCAAGGTGACAACAATTAACGTGTGGGTATCATCCCTGTTCAAAAAGACCCGGTCTCAAGGACCAGGCAGCACAGTCCCCACAGAGGGTCTGTTATGGGTTGTTGGAACATATTCTCTCTTTAACCTTGCAAATCGTTTGTGTAGACATTATAAATTTAATATTCAAAGCAAAAATTCCTATGACTCGTTCTTACTCTATAGCTTAATCAAAGTCTGAACATCCAAGTTAGTCTTTGCTTCAGAAGGAGGGTTTTCTGCTGAACAAGGTGTAGGGCTTGTTAGTTAATGTCTTGTTTTATTATATATCATTTTCATCATCCCACCTAAATGGAACTGCATTCAGAAGTTGCTGTCAGACTCTTTGTGTTCGAAATCCACGGAGGACAGAGTCTCCTCAGGGACCGCATGATGAAACTAGAAGCAAGTTCTGTGTAACGAGGCCTCTCCTCTGCTTCACAGAAAAAAAGGAACCTGGCAGCTCAGAGTGAGGGGAATCTTTATAGCAAAAATAAAGGGGTTTTATTTACGTTTTTGAGGGTCCTGTCAGTGGGAAACAGGGCAAAGCAACCACCATTTATTCAGAAACAGGTATTGTTTATGCACTTACCAAAGCTAAAAAGGGAACTGTTGCTGCCAAATATCTGGCCTTTTCTACCCTCTGGCAAGGCCTTTTTAATCAAAGTTCATATCTCTTATTAGCAATGGGTTTTCAGGTTTTTCTGTCTTTGTGATACTTTAGGCTGGCTGAAAAATAATGATACTATAGAACAGGCTAAAGGCTTGTTCTACAGGGTGCACAGTGGAGGTGGTGGCTGTTTTAAGGCAATATATAACCTTCCCTGTTACCTAAGACCTGGCAGCTCTTGACTTCCCTTCGTATGCACCAGCCCAAGACTATTCTGGGGTGTTGGAGATCTCCTCTTTGATTCTGAGCAGGAGGAATATGCGATTGTAGGGTTTGCAGTTTGGTTGCCAGCTGCCTCGGGCTGACCTGGCGCTGCTCCACCTTGGCTCTCTAAGCTGTCTTGAAAATATGTAAAGTAGCTGGATGAGCATTTTTTGCTTCAACTTGCCTCATGCTCGGTAACCGAAATGTACTCGTGCTCAAATTCAGCAATACCAACTTGTAGATGATCAATTTTTCCTTTATTTTTGCAGAAGGATGTTGCGTTGTACCATCACTTGAGCATCTAAAAAGAACCCTTCTCAAAACTAAATCCATTGTTGAGCTTTCCCAGAATCTGTTTAGGGTCCTATTTTTCTTTCTCTATCCTTTCTGTTCTGGCGTTCACCTCTTTCCCTCACGGTCAAAAAAAATCTCTTTACAATAGACAAATTGTGAGGAGAATCAAACCTGAGTGTTAGAAATCCCTTCCCTGGAACTGCCTTGGAGCAGTTCTCGTGTTTGGGGCCTCAGCCTGTCACATCCCACAATCCTTGCAGCATTCAGTGGCTGTGGGAAGCCAGGATGCTTCTGACAGCTCAGCACCAGCTCTTGGTTTGGACTTTAAAGTATATTTTTACTTAAAAGATGCTTTAACATCGGTTTCTGAAGCAGTAGGTCTAGTGAATTGCTCTGTATCACTAGGTGGCTCTTTCTCAGTCTGTCCCTTTTTTGTCTCTGCTGTCAGTCTGTCTCAGGTGTCACTGACTTAAATCAGCTGGTACCATGTGCCTGTATATGGCTAATTAAATTAAAGAACTAATGTTTTAGCATCTAACTGAAATACCTTATAATATGTATAGTCTAGAGCGTGCGCTTTGTGTGTTCTTCCATCAGACATTCTCCAAACCTGTCATAGACACGAATCCTCAAATATCACTGTGATCTATCTATAAGTATATATTCTGGCTTCCCTTGTGGGGTTGTTTATTTATGTTGTGTGTGTATTTATGTAGTTGGCTCAAGATGAGGGAGCTTTTGATGAGTCTCAACAGTAAATCCTCTTCCTGAGCTTTGCTGCAAAACACTTCCATGAGCAGCCTACACTATCTAGATCATGTTGTGATAAGGGCTGAAGGAGCTAAACAAAGGTGTTTACAGACAACAGGGAGTGTTTTAACCTTTTAAACCTTTTAAAAGCAAATCTGTGTTGCTGAAGCTGTGCATTATAATAAAAAAATAATTCCAGGGTTTTCTTTGATGTGCCAGACCAGCTGCTAGGAAGTCCTGTCCCTCATGGGTGTGCATCAGTGTCTTCTGCTATCACAGCTGCCACAACACTTCTGGTCTCAGTAAAATATAGAATTACAAAATGGTTTGGGTGGGAAGGGACCTTAAAGATCATCCAGTGCCACCCCCTGCCCTATGCAGGGACACCTCCCACCAGCCCAGGTTGCTCCAAGTCCCCTCCAACCTGGCCTTGAAGCCCACCAGGGATGGGGCAAATTGACTCTTTCCTCCATTGCATGTACTTCCAAATTTTTTGGACAAGTTTGAAAATCCTAACGTGAAAAATAAACCCCAATAAAACAAAAATCTAGGTCATTCAAAAATACCATTAAGGAGCTGTGAGTTGCTGTGTCCAGTGTTTTGGGAGGTGGCTTGGACTTCCAGGATGGGAGTGGTTTGTTTCCTCTACAGAAAAATAAACTTTTTTTATTGACAACAGAAAAAACCAAATACTGGATCCTCAGCTGACCACCACCTTAGCTGCCCTCAAGCAGCCTGTCATGTCTTGCTTCCTTCTCCGAGGCCTCGTGTAACCCTGAGCCCACTGGAAGCTGTGTACAAATTGCCATTGTTTAGATGAACTTTCCTCCTTCCCAACTTCTCGGGTGGTTTCTGTAGCTAAATCCAGGGCTTGCCATGAAGAGCTGCTACGTTGGTAGGAGGAAATCCTTCGATAGTCAAGGAGTTGACACACATCTCCATTCCGCTCTGGCAACAGGGATGTTTCTTGGCAATGAAGTGGTTTTATTCAGATGTAAATGTACTAATGGCTGAGAACCAACATGGTGGAGCAACTGACAACCATCTCCAGAGGCTAGTTGTTTTTTAAATATAGAAATACTCTTTTTTTTTTCCAAGTTTCTGTGGTATGTAAGCTGGCGTGTTAAGGCTTTCCTTTGTGGCCTCAAGCGCAGAAAGGAAATAGCAGAATCCAGAATTGCTTGATGGGACATGCTCAACGTTGGGAAAACATGTGTGATTATGGCCAAGTGGTTGTTTTGCAGGCAGCTGTGGAGATTTCAGGTTCTTCACCTTCCATGATTGTTCTGCTGCGAGTTGCTGCTCCCACAGCTCTTCACGTTAACTCCCTACTCCACCAACAGGGCCAAGGTCTATTTAAAATCGCTCTTAATGACCTGGATAAAGGAGCAGAGCACATGCTCACCAAGTTTGTAGATCACACCAGACATGGGAGGACAGTCAGTATGGTGGAGAGCATGGTTGCCGTTCAGAAACGCAACCTCAAGTTGCCTCAAGGAAGCTCAGCAAAGGCAAAAAGGCAAACACAGAGCCCCCCACCTGGGATGGAATAAGCACTCAAAGGCTGGAAAGCAGCTTTGTGGCAAAGGACAATTTGGACATCAGTTGGACAAGCAGGTGCTACGTGTCGTTTCGAAGGACTAAAACTGATGGCTAATTGGGAGAGGAAAAGGGGATGTGCTGAGTCTCCAGTTTGTGCCTTTTCTTGGGCATTTTCACCTCTGCTGTATTATCTTGTTATTTCTTTTTCTCTTCCCTCCAGTTGCCCAATGAAATGATAATAATAATTAAATGTTGTATTTTTTGTCAGACTTAATAAAATAGCAAATCCGACAAGCTTTGCTTCTGATTTCGTTGTTCTTTTTCAGCCTTTTGTTGTCCAGTCTTTAGCTGTTGCTTGTCCCCCTCCGTGGCCTTTGATGATTCAGGCAAATCCATAATGAAGTGGGCAGAGTATTGCAGGAAAACAATCCCAAGACCTTTATATTTATTCTGGCACTATTGCAAGGAAAGCTGAGCTATAAATGGAAAAATACATCAGAAATTTAAGTCTTGATAGGTTGTTGTGCATCAGAATGAAAAGAGAGAAGTTATATCGTCAGAAAGCCCAGGAAATTCAGGTCTCTGGTTCATTTGGTGCTGATAGTTCCAGCTTCTTCATCAATATCAGTCTTTTTTTTTTCACTAGTTCAATTCTGATACGGTTTTAATCACTTTTGAGAACATCTGGAGCTAAAACCAATATTCTAAACTCCCTGAAATCGCAGTTTCTCAACTTTCAAGTGGTTTGAAGTCTCTGTTGTGGGGCATCTGCTACAATCATTTGAAGACTATAGTAGCAAAAAGGTTTGGTGTCTCATTGCTACTATTAAAAGTGCTTCGAGGACCGATGAATTTAATGATGAATATTGAAAAGAGTTTAAATCTTCAGGAGGAAAATGGGGTGATTAATGTGGGGTTTGGGTCAGGAAAGCTGCCATCTGAATACAATGAACGTCTCAGTTTTTGTGCGGGCTGCAGGATAGTTGAGATGTGTATTTATTATTTGAGGCTGTATTTAATCATTGTTTTTAGCAGTACTAACTTTCAGGTGACAGCGAGTAATCCTGGTGAGGTCCTGCAAGAACTTCCATTCTTTATCTCCCAGAACTTTCAGTTATCCCTTTCCAAGGGAGAAAAATCCAATTATCTCTTGTGTTGGGGAAATACAAACAGTTCCTAACACCCTCTTGCATCGCAGCCGTGTCCTGCAGAGCTTGGACTAACCTGGAGTGGGCTCATTTTTCACAACCCATTCATTTTTTTGAGCTTTTTTGTCTAAAAGCCTAGTTTAAAAAAAACCAACCACGATGTTTCTTGCTTATATCTTAACCACAGTTACCCGCTGCTGAAACTGCCGCTGCCTGGCACGGGCCCTGTGGAGTACAGCACCCCCGTGAAGGATTATTCCCCACCTTCTCCGGAGGCGGCTCTGCAGCAAGGGGATCTGGGCGAGCGTCCCGACTGGGTGAGTCCTGGCTTTATCGAGTAATATTTCTGTAGCTCCTAAGTTTAGGCTGTATTTGTGTTGTCAGAAAAACAGATGCTAGGCGTTTGGAAGAGCGAAAAGCTCTGAAACGGTGTTTAAGAGCCTATTTTTCAAGGGTAACTTGGCCTAAGGCAAGTAGTATGCTTTTTAAAGAGTTATTAGGTTTTAAATAAGTTCAAGGATGGGCTCTGGGAGGACAAGCTTCCTGCTGACACGCATGGCTTCACCTACCTGCCTTTGGCCTCCTCTGAAGGGTGAGAATAGGATTTAGTCAGCCCTTTACTGCTGTGACAGCCTGTGGAGATGCCACCAGTAATTCCGATGGTGATGATGGTGTTGTCAGCCTCTCTCCGAAGGGATCTGAATTCTGGCTTTCAACCAGCTTATCCTGTGAAGGTTGGATATATCGGATGTCCTTCGAAGCTGTCGGAATGGGAATGTCTGTCTGACCTGGAGGTGGAAGACAGACTGTCCAGCTCCTCAGCGCTTGCAGTTTTCTCTCTTTTGGCTTTAAAATACTGCATCCAGCAGGGTTTTTTTCTGATGTTGTCAACAGTCTGGGCTTCATCTCCAAGACATAGGCTTTTTTTCTTAAAGTCACAATCACGAGTTTTTCATTTTAATTAGAATTTAGGCAGCCAAGGACTGGCTGTGGAGCTGGCTACTACAGTGTGGTCTTGGGATGCTTGAAGAACCTGGTGAATGGAATATAATCTAAAAGTGGGTGTTGGTTTTGTTTGTTTGTTTGTTTTTATTTGGCTGGTATGTATCATGCAGGTAAACTAGACTCATAACCTTATGTTAAGGGTAAGAAATTGACTTTTCTTTTGCATGAGCAAACTGGAGCCCTCATGCTTTCTGAGAAGGCTGATAACCTGGTCCAGGAAATCAGAAAACAATTACAAAATCATCCTTTTTAAATTGCATTGTTCTTTTTCATTCCAAGATCTCTCTTAGGTAGAAATTACTTGTTTGCTTAATGCTTTTGATGCCTTCAGTTCTCTACTCTCCCCATGTGTGTTCTTCTCACTCTGATTTAAATAATTTGCTGCCTTTTACGCTCCCTGGTGCCACTGAGAGTGTTTTTGCACTGTGCTGGTAACTCGGGCTGCTGCTGGCTGATTAAATCATCCCTTTTCTGTTTTATTGCCTGGTTCAGCTAATAGAGGACAAAAGTTCTGGCTGCCACAGCATGTGGAGTTCCCCAGAGCGGGACCAGCAGCCTGGGCACAGAGACCAGGAAGATTTAGATGGCACACGGCAGAACCAGCACAGGTTGGGGGGGAACCACAGCCTGGTGAGAGGCAGTGAGTTCCTGCTCCTGCCTTTCATCCCAGCACCAAATTCAGCAGGAGCTGGGAGCTTCTGCCTCACAAAGAGGCGCGAAACGATGCCAAAATGGTCAGTGGCATTTTGCCTCTTTGAGGAACAGGCTCTTTTTGTTCTTGCTAGGTTGGTGCTGTCATGTTTCACCTCTAATTTGGGAAAGGAAAATACAGCCTGGCTGGCAAACCCCTTCCTGAAAGGGTGCCAAGCCGGGGTCTGATTCCGCCGAGCAGCTTCCCGCTCGCTGTGTGTTTCCATTCCCCCCCTGGTTTCTCCCCGCAGTACGTCGGTGCTCCCGTGGCCTACATCCAGCAGATCTTTGTGAAGGCCACCGTCTCCCCGTGGCAGAAGAACTTCCTCGCCGTCGATGTGTTTCGTTCACCCCTCTCCCGCGTCTTCCAGCTGGTGGAGGAGATCAGAAACCATGCCCTGAGAGACAGGTAATTAATGAGTGTTCGTTAAGTTTTTGTCTAGAAGGCAGGCTGACCCACTGTTGCACACACCAGTCTTCTAAACTCCTGCCTCCTAAATCTGATAGTTAACTCTGGATTTGTAAAATTCTGAAAATTAAATGAAAACAAGAGGTCGCTGCTAACAAGTGACACCGTATCCATCCTGCACGTTTAGCTTTTGTATCAGACAACTTCCCTGTGCTCTAGTCACTGATAATTATCAGGAACCATCCAGGCAGAGTCCCAGGGCTGTTACAGTTGATGGCAGCATCATACAATCCCTTCATAAACACATGAGCTTTGCATTAAAGCACATTCATTTGACCCCCTCCATTCCTATTGTGAAGCTCTTCTAGAATTCCTCATGGTCAGGAACCTTCTCCTGACTTTCTATATTTAGGACCTGCTTGTTTTTGGCCTGATACTCTCTTTGTACGAAAAAATAGCTTTCCCTCTGCTTCCAGATATTTACAGGGAGAACTCATTCTCCCCACCCCGAATCCTTGTCATCATCAATTGTACATGTTATGAAGCGATTGATCAACGTCTCCGTGTCCCTCTCTGCCATTTCCAGCTGATGAGCTCCCACCTTACTGCAGAAACTCTTGTTAGTCCCCAAGTCTTGTACTTTGTACTGTTAATAGAAGGGTGATTGCATTTATTCCAGCCCTCCCATCATCCATTGCAGATATTCTGTTCCTTTTCTGTATTAACGCTGTTTCTTTATTTTGTGTCATTGGCAGCTATCCCTATATCTTATTCCAAGGTTATTAATAAAAATACATAATCATCCTGGTCTTCCGAACTGTCTGTGAGAAATTCCACTTCGTTTTTCTCAATAATAGTGGTTCCCCTTTCAGCAGCCCCGTGACCATTTTCCTGTTAACCTCCTTCTTTACTGCATCGCAGTTTTTGTGTGAACTTGTGTCTTTCCTGTGCATTTTCTGTGCGATGCTGCATCAGAGGCTTTACTGGGGCTCAGGCAGATGGGATCTGCTGGGCTTTCCTCATCCAAGAAGGCAGGCATTTTAAAGAAAAGACCGCTCAGATTAGTTTGGCATATTCTCTCTGTAAACCCAAAATACATTTTATACACATTAACTTGCCTCTCTTTGTTTTTTAAAACAAGTTTTCCTTCAACTTCTAAGTTTTTATCTTCCTTCCTGCCTTCCTTCCTTCCCTGCTTGTCTGTGTGTGTTCAGTGAGAATAATGATGCTGAGAACAGGCCAAGTGTGGTGTCTCATTATCTCCCCTTGGTGTTGCCCTTGATGAAGCAAAATTAAACTTATGCAGCCATCAGAGAAAAAAAAAAGGATCTGAGCACTTAGACCTAAACCTTCAGATAAAAGCTCCCATTTTGGTGACAGACTCAGATATTTCAGGAAACATCTAACTTTGAGATTGAAACTGACAACAAAGAACTTCGTAATGACTTTGGGGATAATTTTAGAATCTAAATTAAGTGCAGCTGATTTTCTTAATATGAAAAAAGGCATTTTTTTTGTACTAAAGTAAAGAAGGAGCTGACGATTATTGACAACTGGGTAGGAAACACAAGGTGATTATATTTCCATCAGCTTGCTCAAACTTGGAGCAGTCGTTAGTAAAATATTAGAAGTGAGCTGAAATGCATAGTTTATTCCAGTTCATGGGTTTTGGTATCGCTCTGCATCCACAATGTACTGCTTGAGATCCTTGGCTGTGTGAGTTTGCTTCCCAAATGAGAATATACTTAGGCTTATCTGCAATATAAGCTGTTACCACTGTTACATTTCACGGTCAACTAAAGCAGAAATACAAACCAATAGTTATATTACCCCTCCTGGAGCTATTATCGGAGGCATCACTATTTCACGGTCAACTAAAGCAGAAATACAAAACAATAGTTACGTTACCCCTCCTGGAGCTATTATTGGAGGCATCAGTTCCTTTAAATTATCTTTCAGAAAGCTTCTGTTCCTATAAACACAGTATTTTCTTTTGATAGGTGTGACTTTTCTAGGTATCCTGCCATACAGTGACAGGATATAGATTCCAGAGGGAGTGTTCACAAGGGTGTAACTCAAATCATCATCATCGCCTGGTTCCCGTGGTTGCTCTTTGTAGTCACTATTGAAAAATCCTCCTCTAGAAAAGGGATATTACAACAGGACCCTGAATGAGTTGTCCTTTGGAGCCACCATAATCTGCGAGGCTGGAGCCAGGGAAGACTGGGCTCTTGCATCTTAATTTAACCTTTGTTAATTATACCCTTTCTGGGCAAATCCCACCAGTTGCCCATATCACGCTGAGGGAAACGTTCTCTGTTGGATGGGCAGCTCTTCCTCCTGTACCCAAACTGCAGGCTGACAGGTTTTGTCACTAAACCTCCACAGACAGATCCTACCATGAGCCCAATTCAAATCTCACTTGAATTCCTAGTTGATAAGGCTGATGCAGTTGTGTTAAAATGAAATTTTAACACAAGGTCCTGTTCATACCAGTCCCACCTCTATTGATTTCTGAGCCTGTAACGCATTTTCTTTTCCCTACAACGCAGAGGAATTCTGGAAACACTTTGCACAGTTGCAGATATTGAATCCTTTGTACATTTTAGAGCAATCTGTACACCTCAGAAAGCAAATAAAGATTTCCATAAAGTGTCCTTCTGTATACGTGGAAATGAGTATGCAGAGGGTCTTTGTAGGAGAATTCCAAGAGACAGTGTCTCTGTAGACTGGAGGTGTCTTAAATGTGGAACTGCAAATTGTGGCACCTAGGATGGGTGAAGAGTGAAAGCAAAATGATAATGGGGTTCTGGGGTCTGTACACACGAGATCCCAGTGAGATCCCAGTCTGTGGCCCGAGGCTCTTGGTCCATAGTTGTTAAGAACAAGAGCAGTAACGTGGATGGCACCTTGGGGTGTTCATCTCAGCAGCTTTGCCTTTTGTTTGTGAGTCTTGCCACACACCTAACGCCATCTAACCTTTTATTTGCCTTTCAGTTCTGGTGTCAAAAGCCTGGAGGAAGTTTGCCTTCAGGTAACGGATCTTCTGCCTGGCCTCAAGAAGCTGCGGAATCTGCTCCCCGAGCACGGCTGTCTGCTGCTGTCTCCAGGCAACTTCTGGCAGAACGACCGCGAGCGATTCAATGCTGACCCAGATATCATCAAAACCATCCACCAGCATGAACCAAAGACATTACAAACGTCGGCCACTCTCAAAGGTAAGAGGCTGAAGCGCCAGAAAAGCTTTGAGAGATGCCTACAGCTTGGGTCGCTGTATTGTCTGCAGTATCTCCAACATCTAGATGGCCAATCTTAGCAAATTGGGGGGCATTTTGTTACTCACAACATCTGAAACGAGCTACCAAATAAATGTCATCTCTCATTTCGTATCTGTATTTGAACTCAGATCTGGTTTTGTGCAAAGTGAATAATTCCATTCAGTCAGACTCCTTTCTATAGGTGTAAAAATAGCAGGTAACTTGTCCAAGTCTTTTTGTTCCCCTTACTCTATGTATGCTCTAATCTGTCTTTCCCCTCATGCTGTTTTCTGTCAAAGACTGTCTCATTGTCACAGATAAATGAAATTTCACCCTCCTCCCACTGATTGTTGCTTGCTTAGACCCATAATTGACACTGGATATCGTAAAACTATTCTTCTCTCTTAATTAAAAAAACCCCTCTGACCATGTCAGTGATGGTGTTGCAGCAGGAACATGAGGGGCATGAGGGCAGGCAACTTCCCCACAGGAAGGAAGGTTTTTCTTCTTTTTAAAGGGAATTTCCCATGTTTTAATTTGTGCCTGTTACCTCTTGTCCTGTCACTGGGGCTGAGGCTGAAGCGCCAGAAAAGCTTTGAGAGATGCCTACAGCTTGGGTCGCTGTATTGTCTGCAGTATCTCCAACATCTAGATGGCCAATCTTAGCAAATTGGGGGGCATTTTGTTACTCACAACATCTGAAACGAGCTACCAAATAAATGTCATCTCTCATTTCGTATCTGTATTTGAACTCAGATCTGGTTTTGTGCAAAGTGAATAATTCCATTCAGTCAGACTCCTTTCTATAGGTGTAAAAATAGCAGGTAACTTGTCCAAGTCTTTTTGTTCCTCTTACTCTATGTATGCTCTAATCTGTCTTTCCCCTCATGCTGTTTTCTGTCAAAGACTGTCTCATTGTCACAGATAAATGAAATTTCACCCTCTTCCCACTGATTGTTGCTTGCTTAGACCCATAATTGACACTGGATATCGTAAAACTATTCTTCTCTCTTAATTAAAAAAACCCCTCTGACCATGTCAGTGATGGTTTTGCAGCAGGAACATGAGGGGCATGAGGACAGGCAACTTCTCCACAGGAAGGAAGACATATCTGTATTTGAACTCAGATCTGGTTTTGTGCAAAGTGAATAATTCCATTCAGTCAGACTCCTTTCTATAGGTGTAAAAATAGCAGGTAACTTGTCCAAGTCTTTTTGTTCCCCTTACTCTATGTATGCTCTAATCTGTCTTTCCCCTCATGCTGTTTTCTGTCAAAGACTGTCTCATTGTCACAGATAAATGAAATTTCACCCTCTTCCCACTGATTGTTGCTTGCTTAGACCCATAATTGACACTGGATATCGTAAAACTATTCTTCTCTCTTAATTAAAAAAACCCCTCTGACCATGTCAGTGATGGTTTTGCAGCAGGAACATGAGGGGCATGAGGACAGGCAACTTCTCCACAGGAAGGAAGATTTTTCTTCTTTTTAAAGGGAATTTCCCATGTTTTAATTTGTGCCTGTTGCCTCTTGCCCTGTCACTGGGCACCACTGAGAAGAGAACCTGGTGAGGGGTCTGGAGCACAAGTCTTGTGAGGAGCAGCTGAGGGAGCTGGGGGTGTTCAGCCTGGAGAAAAGGAGGCTGAGGGGAGACCTTCTCACTCTCTCCAACTCCCTGAAAGGAGGGTGTAGCCGGGGGGGTCGGTCTCTTCTCCCAAGGAACAGGCCATGGGACAAGAGGAAACGGCCTCAAGTTGCTCCAGGGGAGGTTTAGGATGGAGATTGGGAAAAATTCCTTCCTGGCAAGGGTTGTCCAGTGTTGGCAGAGGCTGCCCAGGGGCAGTGGTGGAGTCACCATCCTTGGATGTGTTTAAAAGCCGGGCAGATGTGGGTCAGTAGTGGGTTTGTCAGTGTTGGGTTGAGGGTTGAACTTGATGATCTCAAAGGTCCCTTCCAACCTGGACAATTCTATGGTTCTATTCTATGATTATTCCCCTGCATCAGGTGTTTCTACACATGGATAATGTCTCACCAGAACACTGAGAAAGCGCTTCCTGTAAGAACAGTAGTTCTCATTCATCATTTTTCACAACAAACGCCTCTCGTATCCCATCTTTTTTCTTTTTTTTCCGCTGTTATCCTAATGTTTTCTTCCCACTGGTTTTGCAGATCTGTTGTTTGGACTCCCCGGGAAGTACAGCGGGGTGAACCTCTACAATCGGAAGCGCGTGGTGTCATACACTGTCACACTGGGGCTCCAGCGATACGATGCCAGGTGAGGAGCTTTGGCTCTGCTATTTCTCTGTTAGCAATCCCTTCTTGGCAAGTTTGCTGTTTCCTCTGCTCTGATTATTGTTACGTTTTTCTTTAATCTCCATTTTCTCGTGTTTTAGAGTATTTTAGGATCTTCTGAATGTGCTATAGAAAAACAGGGTGCTTTTGGGGGGAGAAAACTTGCTGTGTTTTAAGGAAATACTGATAAAATACTATCAGTTCTCAGTTTCTCTTTAAGAAAATATATATATAATGCCCAAAGCTGCCAATGGGAGTTCCTCTGATAATGCTTCATCTGCCCACAGAGCTGTCTGGTGCAGCCAAGGCCCAGTAGGTCTGTTTTGACCCAGTTCCTGGTACACAGAGCGCTTTGCTTTCCAGTAAGTGCTAATTTAAACTGGTACCAACTGTGAAACCCCTTTGGCAGTGTTGGCAGGGCTAGCTGGAACGGGGTGGATGTGAGGACTGAACGCTGTGCTCAGCGTGGCACAGAATTCCCTGAGGAACACCTAGGATGGAATTGGCAGCGCAACAGTCGAAACTCGCTCTGCTGCTGCCCGTGCAGGAACCCTTCAGCCTCCAGGACTGTCGTGTAGCACCTTTCATCAGCCCCACTTACCTAAAATTCAGGCAATGTTTAAGACTACGGCATGTTCTGTTCCCCAGGGACAACATTTTTGGATGATGAGCCTTTGCTTTAAATAGTTTTGCTGAGTCTTCAAGGTTATCTTTGAATCTTCAGAGAAATCAAGGCCTGGAAGAGTGTCACAGCAGAGATGTGACAAATGTTGCTTGGGCCACAGCAGAACAGATTTATCAGTCAGGCCTAGAGAGAACTGTGCTTTGTGAATCTATGGAGCTTCTTCCTGCTTGATCCTGAGCTCCTCCCCGGAATTGTGTGCTGGTTGTTGGGTGCAGTGACATCCCCCTCCTTGCTTTTCACCTCAGGTTCCTCAGCAGCCTCCGCTCTCGCCTCAAGCTGCTGCATCCCAGCCCCAACTGCACGCTGCGAGAGGAGAACATCGTTCACGTCCACTTCAAGGAGGAGATCGGCATCGCCGAGCTGATACCCCTCGTCACCACCTACATTATACTCTTTGCTTACATCTACTTCTCCACACGTAGGTTTGTGGGGTGGAGAGGAGCCTTGAGGGGAGAGCAAGCTAATAACCCCCCTGCCAGCTGAATATATGTAAGGGATCAGTGGTGTGATGCCTACAGATAAGAGAGACTCCTCTCCAGAGCACTGCGGTTCCCTCCTGTTTCAGCAGGAAAGGTGGTGGTGAAATTTTGCCCTGAACTGTCCTGTAGGGAATTACTAGTCCTGTTTATCTGATTTCTGCTGATTTGTCCCTCTTGGCCAGTGTGGTGGTGTTCCTTGTGATCCCTTCTGAGGTGTTTTCTGTCTTAGGCAGCTTTAAGTGCCAGAGTAATGACATTTTTTTCTAGTTTAGAGACACTAACTCTTTGTCAGACAGATTAAATAGATATTCTGAGGTTGTAGGCCTTACTAGCCACACTTAAGTTCCTTTTTTCACGCCTCAACAGTGCTGTACTGGAAATAGCTTGAGCTGCAAGCCATGCTTGTTAGTGGGAGGGTCTGGGAGCTGCATTTCAGACACAAGGCTGAAGTACCATTACTTCTGGGTGGCAGGGCATTAAGCTCCCTGCTGAGATAAGTCAGGATGAGCATCCCTTCTTGGTTTTTTATTATGAATATGTCATTTTCTTTTGCTTGGTCACTGAGATTTTGCGTTCTGTTTTTCAGGGAAGATCGACATGGTGAAGTCGAAGTGGGGCCTGGCCCTGGCAGCGGTGGTGACGGTGCTCAGCTCGCTCCTCATGTCCGTCGGGCTGTGCACGCTCTTTGGTTTGACGCCTACTCTTAACGGAGGGTATGTTTCCAGCACCCAAACCTCTTCCTAAAGAAGGGTGGATGGAGTTGAAATCATTTGAAAAACAGCTGTTAAATGCTTAGTCTGCAAGATCTAGTATTTTTCAAACAAGCTTTTGAAATCATTTGAAAAACAGCTGTTAAATGGTTAGGCGGCAAGATCTGGTATTTTTCAAACAAGCTTACATGTCCAGAGAAGGGCAATGGAGATGGTGAGGGGTCTGGAGACCAAGGAGAAGGGTCTGGAGAACTTGTGAGGAGCAGCTGAGGGAGCTGGGGGTGTTCAGCCTGGAGAAAAGGAGGCTGAGGGGAGACCTCGCTCTCTCCAACTCCCTGAAAGGAGGGGGTAGCCGGGGGGGTCGGTCTCTTCTCCCAAGGAACAGGAGATGGGACAAGATGAAAGGGCCTCAAGTTGCTCCAGGGGAGGTTTAGGATGGAGATTGGGAACAATTTCTTCCTGGAAAAGGTTGTCGGATGGAGATTGGGAAAAATTTCTTCCTGGCAAAGGTTGTCCAGTGTTGGCAGAGGCTGCCCAGGGCAGTGGTGGAGTCACCATCCCTGGAGGGATTTAAAAGCCAGGTAGATGTGGTGCTGAGGGACCTGGGTCAGTGCTGGGTTGATGGTTGAACTTGATGATCTCAAAGGTTCTTTCCAAGCTGGACAATTCTATGGTTCTATGATATTATTTTACACACTGCTGTGCAAAATTATGATGAGATGTCCTCCTGGCCAGCAAACAGAGCTGATCCCAGTCTTCTGGGAGACACCTTATTGCTTAGCAGTTGGCTTTTTCTGCCTAAAGCAGAAGGAATTGTTGGGACAACTTCTTAATTAATAGCTTGATTTCCTGGCAGCCAGGTAGGCTCTCACATACCTCCCTCCTGCCGTGACTTGCCGGAGCATCCAAAAGAGCATGTTACCTTTTCTCTGGCTGATGGAGGTTCGTTAACATTTTATTCAGAAAAGTCTTTAAAGGTGGTGGAACTGACCCGTGGTATTTGTGCCTGGGAGACTTTGCCCCCACCACTGGTGGTTGATGGCTCTTCTTTTAACTGGGGTTCCTATTACAGCTGGCGTTCGGGACTTTTGATGTGGTTATATTTATAATGTGTTATATTCGTGTCAAGCTGAAAACCCCCTGAGAAAGCTCTAACAGGCATCTCTCTTAATTAAAGTTAATTGAAGTTTAGTTCAGAGTCTTCCTTTCCATTTTCAGATCCCTTTCCTAAGTAATTGAGGAAACATCCATTGTTTTTCTTCCCATCTCCTCCTTGCAGCTGGACACTGCAGGGATGAAGTCTCACCCATGAGAGAGACTCCTCGGTGCTGGTGATAATTTACCAGCAGCCAGACCTAGATTCCTCTCTAGAAGCCTAAAAATCAATCATATCAGTGAATAATTGACTTCACAAGCTGAAATATTTGTTGTTTCTGGTTTTACTGCTGTGGTGCCTCAGAACCCTAATCATGGATCGAGACTACACTATTCTGTGAGCTGTTCAAATAAAAGAGATAGGATCCACTGGGAGTTTATACTTTTAATTGATGCAAGAAAAAAAAGGCAGTATTTGGATGCAGATACATGGGGGGAATCCAGGGGAACAGTTGTGGTTAATGCAGTGGTCATGACCTTTCTGTTCTCTCAGCCTTCCCATTGTCACACAGAAGGGCTAAACTCAGCTAGTTATTCCTCCTAAAAGATACAAAGAGTTAATTCAGTCCTTATTTCTAAAAATAGTTTTCCAGGAAAATTTCCTTGCCTTAAAATGGTTGCATGGGCAGCTTCCTTTGGGGTTAATTCTTGCAATACTTCATAAATGATGTCTAATTAGATGGAAGACCCTTGGATTCTGTGGTGAGGGGGTTTGATGACACTGAGGTTTTTATAACTTCTGGTGAGTAGCTTTTTCCTGATTCCTCAGGGTCTGGCAGAGCACTTTTCCTTTTGGGCCTGACTGGGAGCAGAGTGGTTTTGGTGTGTCATACACCAGTGGCAACATGGTAGGAGTTGGCCAGCTTAAGGTTAAACTTAGATCTGACTTCCAGCCTTTTTTTTTAATCCCTTTTATTTCTAGCAGAGCCTTCCAGTTGTGGATGTGCTTGTTTTTTAGGGTACCTGTATTTATAATAAGCCTTTTTCCCCTCACTGGGTTTTATAAGGTATTAAAATACAGCTTGTTGCTTAGAGATCATCACTGTTTGCCTGCTACAGACATGATATATGAACTGGACCTTAGTCACTATCGATCATCTCTTAGAACGAAGTAAAATAATTATAGGCGAAGTCTTATCTTATGGAAAATAAAATGGAGATAGATGACACGATCTAGGTTGTCTCTTCACAAGTATATTTGGAGCCAGAGAAGATCTGGGCTTTTTATGGGTTAACAGTAGTGTTTCTGCTGACTGTGGAGTGCTGGATCATGTTATGATGCAGCACCTTCTGGCATCGAAGCGATGAGTGGAGTGTAAATGTTTCAGGAGATGGGCACGATACAGCATCTCCCTTTGCTTTTCCTCTTCCTCTTGGAAGCTCTTTCTCAGCGCTTGGCGCCGTACGGCGGAAAATACCACGAGGATCTCTTGCCACCTGCCTCACAAATGAACTTAGGTTTGATTATCTTCTGCAGTAGAAGCTGTGGTTTAGGTAGGACAGAGTTGATGAATTATCGAGCTTTCTTTTCCATATTTGTACTCCCTTCTCAAGGTTCACTTCATTTATCTGGAACTGGTGCTAGACCCTCCACATATCTTAGTGGACCTAAGGATAGGACTCTACAAGGACTCTGCAAGAGCCTACCCTTGCAGATAACACGCTCTGCAGGAGGGTGCTCTGCTGTGCCAGGCGTGTGTGTTGCACTCTATTTATTGAGAGATTTCCATCCCTGAGGATTACAAAGAGCTTTTCTCACATCTGTCTCCTGTCCTAAAGTACTGCTGGGAGGAGAGACATGGGTTATGAACTGAAAACGCTTTAGATAAAGGCAGGACTGAGTTGTACCTCCTGCTGACGTCAAAGAATCCAAAATCTAGAAAGTTGCCCACGAGGGGCTTATATATATTTGTATTTTTTCACTCACTGTGGAAATTCACTGCCTGCGCAGCTTTTGGATGAGAAGGGATCAATATGTTGCACAATTAATTCCTAGAGCTAAAATTTGGTTAGGATACCCTAAAAAGGGTGCGTGGAGTTTGGTGTTTGATTTGTTGGGATTTTTTTGGTAATCTTGCTTTCTGTGGACCTCCTGCCGTTTTTTTAGGGACGTAACTGGAATGAAATAGCTGAGTTAGCAGTGCTTCCAGACAGATGTTTTTCCCCAGCTGAGGAAAGGCAGAGCCTGCTGACAGCTCGATATTCAGACGTTGTTGAAACCCGTGTCAGATGGCCGTAGGCGATCGAAAACAGCTTTTGGGAAGATAGTGCTTGGGGGTGATGGCAGAAAACAGGAGGTTTTCTTCCAAAACCCTGTTGTTTAACTGTCTCGGCTGTTAGCAATTAGCTGAGGGGTGTGTGCACACACACACACACACACACGTTCTTTTGGAGCTGCACATACCAGCACAGCACAAATCCATCACCCTCCCCAGTGAAACCTTTAGTATTTTTGCTTAAGTTTAGCTGGAGGGAAATGAAGAGATTTATTCTCTACCGTGTGCTGGCACGGATTGGGTTTTTCTCTCTGATCTGGACCACAAGGAGCTCAAAAGAGAGAAAAAAATGTGGAGGTGAGGAGAAGAGTTGAATAAAGTCACAGGGGTGACCTTGGGTAGTCTTACTCTGCTGTGTGTGTTGGAACCTAGATGGTCTTTAAGGTCCCTTCCAACCCAAACCATTCTATGATTCTGAAGAGCAAACCCATTAAAATATGTTTTCTTGACTCCCATGCTCTTCACTTGAGGTCTTTGTTTTTTTAAGTTTTGTTTAATGTAATGCTGAGCTGTGATTTATCAGGATTTTTGCTGTTGATGGTGGGACGCGCTCCCTACTCTCATGTTGTAATGACTAATTATTGCTGACTCTATTACACCGTTGTTCAAAGTCCACCTTTTTGATTTGCGCCTCTTTGTACTAGACGCTGGAGAGACACTTTGATGAGCCCTATTCCAACCCTGGGAAATGTTAAGACTAATTTACTGATGGTCTACAATGGCCATTTTCCAGAAGAACAGGCAAAAATGTTAACATCTGTCCAAAGCAGATGAAATACAGAACCCGTAGCTCATCGTAGAGTAATACTGTACGAGAAGGGATTTGGCTGAGAGCACTGGATGGTGTTTCCTGGCCTTGACTCTAGGATGCGTGTTTGCTGCTTAATTTGAATCTTTCCCTTCTTTTTCACCAAGGATCTCATTGGCACTTGTGGTTCTGTTCCCTCTAGAGAGATATTTCCATACTTGGTTGTAGTCATTGGCTTAGAGAACGTGTTAGTTCTCACCAAGTCCGTTGTCTCTACGCCCGTTGACCTGGAAGTGAAGCTACGCATTGCCCAAGGTACGCACTGCTCTGGAAAAACATGGAGAGAGGGAAAATTCGGGTAACCCAAGGACCTGGGAGGTGGAGAATGATCTTAATTCTGGTCTGTGAAGGAAACAAGGACTCTGTGTGTTGAACGAGAATTGGGAATTATATTCTGTTAGTCATTTTGTACCATTTTTGTTCATTCCAAGAACGAATATAAGCCTGTATTTCGTGGGCACTGCTTTTTAAGATTGGTGTATGAAGCGTTGGCTAAACAAGTTATTAAAAGTGTTAATGAGAGAGAGCTGTGTCTCCTGGTATAGATATTTAGCACCTTGTCCTCTCATATCACGAATATCCTAAGTGCAGTCCACAGGTCATAGGAAGTTCTGCTGAGTCTGTAATAAAATTATCTTCTCTATTATAGATATCTGTAAAAGGATTTGAGTGTGCTCAAACCACAGATAAAGGGAGTTTGCAAACTTAAAAGATGTTTCTAAATATCAGGGAAGAGAGATTCTAGAGTGATGCCTAAGAAAATCTGCCTAGTTTTAAAAATGCAAGTGGTTTGTATCCTAGATTGAAAACAGGGCTCAAAAACTCAATGGTTCTTGAGACTCCTGAATCCCCGTATTGCCCTGTGCAGCACCCTCTGACTGCTTACATCAGGGCAGGTTTGGGAGCTGAGAGGGTCCTCCTGAGTTCCCTTTGTAGTTAACGATAATCCCGTTAACAAAGACATTGGGAATCTACAGTCCAGTTCTTTGACTTAGATATTCAAAATAGCTCAGATGAATTTTAGTCTGAAAGTGCCTTTTTTTCACCTGTTGTCTATAGATGCCTAATTTTAAAGACAGGAAATCCAGTTCCCTTTTGCTATGCTCGTGTCTGTCCTTTTAACAGGCTCCTTTTACCTGTCTCTGTGTGTTCTTTCTCCAGGTTTGAGCAACGAGAGCTGGTCCATTATGAAGAACATGGCGACAGAGCTTGGGATCATCTTGATCGGGTATTTCACCCTCGTCCCGGCCATCCAGGTGAGCGTGGCTGACTGGGTTGAGGTTGCAGGAATGGAGTGTGTGATATTCTGCTCCTCTCTCTGCCTAATTGGATTAAGAGTCTGGTAGTGGGTCGAGGGAGGTGATCCTGCCCCTCTGCTCTGCTCTGGGGAGACCCCCCTGCAGTGCTATGGAGTCCTCAGTTGACCCAGACACATGGTCCTTGTTCCAGTTGCTGGTGTTTAGAGTCTGCTCCTTCCAGTTGCTGGCTCCACAGGCTCTACAGGAGAGATGGGTTTGGACACCCTCTGTCATTGTCTCATGGTAATGACTCACCCCTGGACCATGGGACTGATCGTGGGAGGAGCTGGAGCAGGAGCTCATTTCCCTCCTTCCCATCCATCTGTGCTCCTTGTGTTTGTAGAAATGAGCTTCTTATCATGAAACAACCTCAAATTGCACCAGGGGAGGTTTAGGATGGAGATTAGGAAAAATTTTTACCCTAAAAGGGTTGTAAAGTATTGATTGGGAAGAGGCTGCCCAGGGCAGTGGTGGAGTCACCATCCCTGGAGGTATCTAAAAGCTGGGCAGACGTGGTGCTGAGGGACATGGGTCAGTGGTGGGTTTGTCAGTGCTGGGTTGATGGTTGGACTCGATGATCTGAGAGGTCCCTTCCAACCCAGACGATTCTATAATTCTATAACTCAGCACTGCCCAGTGTCTTTGGTGGGGATACCTTTATTCCAACCTAAAAATGCCTTTTTTGAGCTGGCTAATCCACTTTATAAGTGGATTATAAAAAGAAATCCCCAGTGCAGGATGGCTGCTCTGAGAATCAGGGTGGACAGTCCGTTTGGGGCTCTTTCCCCAGATTGATGGATCTGGTGGTTTTTACAGCCATGGACGTCGCTGCCTCCGTTTGATGGACGGGCACATGGAGAGCTGAAGGTAGAAGGATCTGTCAGGGGTCACGCTGTTGGGTCTGTGCAGCACTGAAACCAGCATCTTCTGCCTCACAGTGTGGTGCTTTCTCTGCTGCGTGGTCTCCTTTTCAGGACTGGGCTTTGCTGAGTTATGTTGGGAAGGTGACACCACTGGATTTCTGACCAAGCAGGGCTCGTTCCTGGCGAGCTACCTGAGCAGAAGTGCTGCCCAGACAAATCCTCATCTCCAGTTCTGCCACTGGATTTTGTGGAGGTGTCAGCCTGTTGTCTGTGGAAATTGGTAGCAGGCTCAGGCAGCAAACGAAGGCAGGAGCACCCCAACATCTCCATCAGTGGAGGCTTCTCTGGGCCCTTGCTAGGTTCTCTGGCCAGGCGTGACCTCTGGGTTGTGTGTATCCTCGCTTTACCATCAGTAAATTGTTTTACCATCATCCTTGCTTTACTCACCAGTACAGGCCACAGATTAAAGCGTATTAGAATCTAAGAAGATTAAATGTTCAGGTTGGACTGGACTGAACTTCCCAGTTCCTGAGCTTCTCTCTCTGTATCCAGGAGGACAGCAGGGGAGGAGCTACAGTAGAATTCCCCAGGCTACAGCCAGCCACCTCTTGCGGCCTAATTTTTCTTTATTTGAAGCTGATTGCAGAGATTGCTGAGCTCAGAGGCCGGCGTGATCCATCCTTTGGGCCTAAATTGGGCTCATTAATAGGGTCTAGCAGCACCTTTTGGCCTCTTGTTTCATCGCTGCGCTGCTTGACCTCGGGAAGAGAAGCTTGATGGTATCTGTCCTACCTTAGTGCCAGCAGCCCCGTGGTGTGGGTACTGCTGGGACAGTTCACTTTGGTGTCACACTGGGCTGTAGAGGAGCTCTCTGGGCGTGCTGGTTACAGGAGATAAAGGAGTGTGATAAAAGGGACAGGACAGGGACACAGAATGGTGTCAGCAGAGCTGTGGGGAAAAGTGACACCGTGCCCCCACCCTCCTCTTTTCTCTGTAAACTCCTCCTGTTTCTTAACAGCGTTTTGACACGTGTGGTGACATCCTCTCTCTGTGACCCTGCCTTTCCTTGGATGCTCGCTCTCTCCAGAGGAAGGATCTGCTGGGGGGATGCTGTCTGTTCAAAGCCTGGAGGCTGCTGGATGTCCTTTATCTCTGTCCCTGAGAGGGAAGGACGTTGTGCAGATAGTGTGCTGTGCTTGCCTTGCAGAGTCCAAGGAGATCTGGCAGAAAAAGAGCCAGGCTGCGTAAATCTGGCAGGGACCTTTGCTCCGGGCTGTCAGAGGGAGCAGAAGAGAGAGGGATTTCCTTGCTGAAGGCTCTCCCCTGCCCCGAGGGCTGTCGTGGGTCTTGTCTTTCTTCTCAACTCCTTGGTGGTGCAACTCATTGAGCAGAAGGGAATTTTCTCTGTTTTCCATGGTTCTTCTTGTCCTAAAATAGAGTTTGGCTTCAGATGAGAATTACACATGCACTTTAAATCCCTCCTAATTGTGAGCAGCAATGAAAACCTCTTGCCTCGTGTTGCAGGTGGGCAGAGACCCCTGTTCTCCTGGCACGGAGTCGCTGGGGATGGTCCTGAGATGCTGCAGGGGTGTGCGCTGAGCGCTCCTCCTCTGTTTCTCATCTCTTATCCACTGATAGCCCAATCCTGCACCCAGAGAAATCACTTTTGGGTGTGCGGTATCCAAGTATAAGAAGATTTTGGATTTCCAGGCCTAGCAGCTTCTCTAATCCCAAGTGGAGTAAGTGGAGGTATTAACGGAGTGAATATCTCTCGAGGCAGAGCTGCTGTTCGTGGAGCCTGTGTTTGCCAAGGTCTGGGTGAAATCCAGATGAATGTTGCTTTCCTTCTGGTTTTCTCCTCGAGAGAGGAACCTGGGTTATGTTTTCATCCCTCTGCTTCCAAAAATTTCCTCTCAGATGTTGGGAAAGGGGCTAAAGAGTTAAAAAAAAATGATGGGAACCTGCTTCCATGTGCTGCTGTGGCTGGGAGGTCTGGGCAGGGGCTGCTGACCTGCTGGGTTATCTCGTCTCGTATCACACTGATTTTTAAATCACTAGCAGTTCATTGTTTTGTGTTTTGAGAACAGTTTGGACAGTTTGGGGAGGCGTCAAGGTTTGTTTAGAGGTTATGGATGGCCTTCCATGCCATAGAATCATAGGACCATAGGATGGTTAGAGTTGGAAGGGACCTTAAAGATAATCTCTTTTCATCTCACTGCGCTGATACTCGTCTCCAGCGTTACGCAAGAAGCTGGGGCAGACATAGAAAGGAGGGGCCCTAAAGAAATTCATCTTTATGGCCTCTCTCCTTCCCTTTAGGTGGGTTTATCCTGGCCTGGTCTGCAGACAGCGAGCGTGCCACCCCGCCAGCAGGCAGGCAGGGAATGGCAGTGGGTGTTTGCCAGCTGCAAGTGAGGGCCAGAGCCTTTAATCCATTTTTTAGCCTAAGGTTTTTACTCCTGTTCAGCTTTCTTGCTCTCTCCATGTTTGCAAGATCCTTTTTTGGGTCCTGACAGGTCCCGACAGAAATTTATACCCGTAAGGGAAGCGAGACACCTCTTAAAAATATTTTAATTCTATGTTGCTTTGAAGTTTTGAATGTCATGGGGGAGAGGGGACGGCACTTTGCTCCATCAGGGATTAGAGTAAGAGCGTGCATTTGTTTTATAGGGATGATTTCTGCTGCTGGGCACAAGCTTTTAATCCTTATTTCTGCAATGGCACCTGCTGGGGAAAGTGGAGCATTACAGGAAATTTAGGAAACACTGGCTTTTGCAAACATTATTTCCTCTATATTGTTGTTTAGAGACCTCTGAGGGTGGGAATGGCTCTTTTCTTCCAGAGGCATAGGGATGGAATTTGCCATACATCAGCCAAAAGTGTGATTTAAGCAGAAATTATTTACTGGACTCCTGGAGAATGGCTAGAAACGAGTACCCAGACGCGTGGTGGAGAGCGATCGATCCTCTTCCTGAGCAAACTGTGTTCCTGGAGGAATTTTCAGTCAGGACTGAGGTTTTTGGGGAACGTGCAGGAAAGGGTCGCCGTTGGAGGCTGCTTGGCTTTGTGATCTGAGAGCTCAGCCCTGCCGTGGCTCTGGGAACTGGGAAAACATCCTCTGCTGGTTTTTCCTGTGCTGCTTTGATGTTTTATGCCTAAAAAGAACAAAGAATGCAAACCTGGATAAATATGCTCTTCAATTCTCACATGGGTTTTTTTAGCACCAAACTCAACTAGTACAAATTATCAATAACAGGATTTCTCAGTAAAATAGGCTCGGGCCTGTGCTCTGGGCAAGAGTTTGCCGAATTTCCCTTTTTCTGAAGTTGAAATATCTGCTGTTGTCTCCGCTGTAGCTAATCAATGCTTCTTGTCTGCAGGAGTTCTGCCTCTTCGCTGTGGTGGGCCTGGTGTCTGACTTCTTCCTGCAGATGTTTTTCTTCACGACCGTGCTCTCCATTGACATCCGCCGTATGGAGGTAAGGAAGGGCCAAGAACACGGGGGGTTGCCTTGGCTTTTTCCTCCTCTGCTGTTGCAGAAGGATTAAAGGAAGCACAGCCTGTCGCTCTCACTCTCTGAACAGAAAAACAGAACTGTAAAAGTTCTGGGGCTGTATTTTCTTGGTTACACAATCACAGAACCCCAGAATGATATGGGGTTTGAAGGGACCTCTGGAGATCATCTCCTCCAACCCCCACCCAGAGCAGGTCCCACAGGAACGTCTCCAGGTGGGTTTGAATGTCTCCAGAGAAGGAGACTCCACCACCTCTCTGGGCAGCCTCTGCCAGGGCTCTGCCACCCTCACACCAAACAAGTTTCTTCTCAGGTTGAGATGGAACTTCTCATGTTCCAGTTTGTGCCCGTTCCCTCTTGTCCTGTCCCTGGGCACCACTGGAAAAAGCCTGGCCCCATCCTCCTGACACCCACCCTTGAAGGATTTGGAGACTTTGATCAGATCCCCCCTCAGTCTGCTCTTCTCCAGACTAAAAAGCCCCAAGTCCCTCAGCCTTTCCTCATCAGGGAGATGCTCCAGGCCCCTCATAGTCTTTGTAGCCCTTTGCTGGACCCTCTCCAGCAGTTCCCTGTCCTTCTGGAACTGGGGAGCCCAGAACTGGTCCCAGAGCTCCAGCTGGGGCCTCACCAAACTGGTCCCAGTGCTCCAGCTGGGGCCTCATCAGGGCAGGTTACACGTACACAGGGATTGGGGACAGGATGCTTGAGGGAACAGGACAACCTCAGGTATATAAATATGCAGATTTGAGATAAATGGGCTGGAAGGACACATGGTCACAAAGCGGTGACGATGGCTGGGCCAAGAAGGGAGTGTGTGCTGGAGAGAAGCTGGGACAGATCCACTCGAGGGTGAAGGTGGGATACGCCCGGCCGTGGGCACGTATCGAAGCCAGCTCTCTCTGCTCACATTTCTCTGGAGGTTCCCCATCACCACGTCTCTCACGGGTCTGTTTTCCTCCTGGCAGCTCGCCGATCTCAACAGACGGTTGCCAGCAGAAGCCTGTTTGCCCCCGGCCAAGCCTGTCAGCCGCTCGCAGCGCTACGAACGCCAGCCGGCCATGCGGCCCGCCACCCCCCACACCATCACCCTCCAGCCCTCCTCCTTCAGGAACCTGCGCCTGCCAAAGAGGCTGCGGGTGATTTATTTCTTTGCCAGGACCCGCTTGGCCCAGAGACTCATCATGGTGCGTCCTCTGGGGTTTATTGTCTGGTGTCCCTTTGTGCTGGGCACAAACCCAGCCCAAAGAGGCTTCCACAAAGGGAACAAAAAACCACCAACAACATTTTTTCACATGGTGCGTCCTCTGGGGTTTATTATCTGCTGTCCTTTCATGCTGGGCACAAACCCAGCCCAAAGAGGCTTCCACAAAGGGAAAAAAAAACCAAACCCAACAACATTTTTTCATATCCTTATTCCCCTCCAAGACTTATGCTGCCCCGTGGTAAATACAGTTCAAGAAATAATTTCCTGAGAACATCCCTCTGCTGTGTGCATGATCTTTAGCTGGTAGATATTTGCTTTGAGACAAAAGTCTGCTTTTATATAAGCAGGTTTTCAAGGTCTGAGCAGAGAGAGAACGTTTTTACAGAGCAGAAATCACGTTTTGTTCCTGCAGATGACGTGGACTAAAGACATGGAGATGTTTTGCTCCATGAAAGGCAAAGGCTTTTCCTTTTGCGGGTGTAACTGCGGCAGTGACACCAGTTCCAGCCCCTGCGTGTCCCCCCCAGCTCTGTTCTGGATGTCTGGGGTGGAAACAGAGGAACCTGTGTGTTCCTCAGCTCTACAAACCCCAGCCCAGTCTGTTACCATCAACTCACATTGATGGCAGTTTAAATTTAATACACGGCTGCAGGAGGTCTTGCAGAATCTGCAAACCAGAACCCCAAATTAAGCCTTTCCAGCCCAGTTTGAGGGTGGCAGACCTGCTGGTCCCAGCATTTCTGGGGGAGAAGTGGGGTTCCCACCATGGGGTAGAGTGGGATGGCTCGCAGGAGAATAGTGTTGAGTTTTTGTGTGTGCTCTGCAACCTCTCCTGGTCCTCTTAGAGGGAGGAGTAAGACATAACTGAGTGTGGAGGGTGTTGTTGGTCACCTCAGAGGATGATGAGGTGTTGGAGGTGGAGTGTGAAGCCCATGTTCTAAACGAGCTTGTCTCCTTGCCCATCGGGTGTAGGCCGGGACGGTGATCTGGATCGGAATCCTGGTTTACACGGATCCTGCTGGTCTCCGCACCTACCTCACGTCCCAGGTCACCGAACAAAGCCCTTTGGGTGAAGCAGGTCTGCCTCCCATGCCTGTTCCTGGAGGGGTCCTGCCTGCTGGGGACCCCAAGATTGATCTCTCAGTCTTCCCGTCGGACCCCATCCAGCTGTCGGAGAACCAGACGCAGCAGCGGGAGCAGAAGTCGGGGCTGGAGACAAACCAGCAGAGCTGGGCCCAGGGACCAGAGGGCAAAGGGAACGGACAGACGGAGCTCGGGACGGAAGCGGAGGTTACCTGGGGAGCAGAGGATGAGGAGATCTGGAGGAAACTTTCCTTCAGACACTGGCCCTCCCTCTTCAGCTACTACAATATCACTCTGGCCAAAAGGCAAGTGGGCTGGTGTCGAGCGCCGCAGGCGCTTTGAATTCCTTATGGAATTGATTCCAAGTGTTTTTCTTTCTTTTGTCCCTCATCCTTCCCAGTTAGATATTTTGGGTTCCATGTTGCTTACTCCAAACGGGAGGAGACGTTTGAATTCCTTATGGAATTGATTCCAAGTGGTTTTCTTTCTTTTGTCCCCTCATCCTTCCCACTTAGATATTTTGTGTTCCATGTTGCTTACTCCAAACAGGAGGAGACAAATTCTCCAGGACTGTTTGTCTGAAAATAAGGGTTGTGTTTCTCTCCTGTGCCTTTGGGTGTATTACTTGCTTCATGTCTTTCTTCACCCTGGAGGTGACATTTAGAATTTTGTAAAGCAATATATGAGCATCTGTAAGTGATGGGGATGGCACAGCTGAGCTGAAGAAACTTCTTGGTGAGATCTTCTGGCCTGTGGTGCACAGGAAGCTGGGCCAGATCATTATATCTTTACTTAAATCTGTGTGATGCATTTGATCTCACGGGTAGTTCATTCCACTGTTGGCTCCTCGCCTCTTCCACAGAGTTAAAGGTTAAGACCTGGGAAATATCTTCCGGGTAAAATATTTCCAAGGAGGTCTTCAGTTCAGAATACCTGGAAGTACCTCCTGAGACCTACCTTGTAGTGAGAAGATGGGATGGGTAACCCAGGAAGGTATTTCTGTCTTTGTGTGTGTTTGTTCCTAAGCTGTTCTCACTTTTCCATTCCTTCAGATACATCAGCATCCTTCCAGCAATCCCTGTCACGCTCTACCTGAACCCACAAGAGGCCTTAGAAGTGCGGCATCCCCAGGAGGCCAACCGCTACCACCCCTTCTTATCTTCCACGGGGGGGAAGCTGGATGCTGGAGCTCAGCCTGACCAAGCCTCATCCAAGCTGCAGGGACACCAGGATGTCACCCTGTACAAGTAAAAGAGTCCTTGATGTGCAACCTTCTGACTGTGCCTCAACTCCCTCGGGGACTTGGGATGCTCTTTGGTTCTTCTGGAGGGGAAATAAAAGGAAAAAAAAAACCCCAAACTGTTACTCCTTCCACGTGGTGCATCATGGGGTTTAGTGCTGGGTAACAGGGACAGGAGTTCATTTTTGGGAATAAACATGTTTTTTTAAATAATGCTTTATTGGGCATTAGATCAAACTAACCTAAGTTAGTTCCTAAACTAAGGAGAGGGACCTTCCTTTCCTCCCAACTCCCAGCTCGCCCTCTGAGCCTGCCATTCTCCTTTGGCTGTGTTCAATGCACTTTAGAGCATCCCAATCCCCACCTTTTTCTTGCTGTCTTAATTGCTGTGTACTTTTCTTATTGAGAAGTCTGAAAATCTTATTGAAATTTACATTTCCCGTTTAAAAAAAAGTCTTTAATTTTCCAGAAGTCACTAGAGCTTATTAGTAATTTTGCTCAGCTGAAAAATGAAGACCAGCAAAACATGCAAAACTTTCCCAGTATTTTTCAAATTTTCTGTTTGTGGACTAGTAATTGGATTTTTTAATCTCACCTTCTTTTTGTCTTTTTATCTTTGTGTCTCCCCCCAGGGTGGCAGCTCTGGGTCTGGCCTCGGGCATTATCCTGGTCCTGCTGCTCTTCTGCCTCTACAGGGTGTTCTGCCCCAAAAACTACGGGCAGAACGGGCTCTCTCACGGCAGGAGGAAGAGGGGGGACCTGCCCTGCGACGATTACGGCTACTCCCCTCCCGAGACAGAGATCGTCCCCCTGGTGCTCAGGGGTCACCTCATGGTGGGTCGGGAGGGAGCTGTCCTTAAAAGAATGACATTTTACTGACACATCTTTCATTTTCTTTATTTTATTTAAATAGCAGCCCTCACGAAGGACACATCAGCTCTGCAGCCTTAGTGTGATGCAGCCGTGGAGGCTAACGGCTGGGGAGAATCCTATAAAAATATGTATTTAAGGATATTGTAGCATGAAGTCTCCTGCAGGACTTTTCCATTTCTCCCTGGGACTTGCTCTGAGCTTTTTGCAGTCGCTGTTTTTACCTTCTCTCTGTAGCCAACTGTTGGCTTTTATTGACTGGGCCGAGCCAGCCTTCTCTGCTCTAGATTCCTGATATTTAATGCCTACAGGATCCTTTTTTCCCTGATTCCCAAAAGTTAGTGCATAGGTTTGAGCTGTTAGCTGTTGTTTCCAGTGCTAAAAGCATCCACGGCCTTGCACGGAATTGTGCTGCTGCTCAGTTTCCTCATTTTTCTTGAGGGAAAAGATGTTTCTTCCCATTCTCGGGCACTCGGGCATTCTTGGGGTGGGGTTTGGGAGCTGTGCCGTGTCTCCCAGAGAAGCTGCACCTCTGGTGTGCCTGATCCTGCATCTCTTTGAGTGATACTTTGTCAGGAAAAGGGGAGATAGACGGAATCTGTTTGATTTGCAGCATCTAATGCTCATCGAGGACTCTGGGCAGAGATGTTCCCCCGTTCTCAGAGTATCCATAGGTTGCTAAACCAGCCATGTAGTTTGCCAAGAAAGCCAACAGCATCCTGGCCTGTATCAGGAACAGCATGGCTAGTAGGGCCCGAGAGGTGATTGTCCCCCTGTACTGGGCACTGGTGAGACCTCACCTTGAGTACTGTGTCCAGTTTTGGGCCCCCTACCATAAAAAAGACATTGAGGTGCTGGAGCAGGTCCAGAGAAGGGCGACAAAGCTGGTGAGGGGTCTGGAGAGTAAGTCTTATGAAGAGAGGCTGAGGGAGCTGGGGGTGTTCAGCCTGGAGAAGAGGAGGCTGAGGGGAGACCTTATTGCTCTCTACAACTCCCTGAAAGGAGGGTGTAGAGAGATGGGGGTCGGTCTCTTCTCTCAAGTCACAGGCGACAGGACAAGAGGAAATGGCCTCAAGTTGCGCCAGGGGAGGTTCAGGCTGGATATTAGGAAAAAATTTTTCACTGAAAGGGTTCTCAGCCATTGGAATGGGCTGCCCAGGGAGGTGGTGGAGGCCCCATCCCTGGAGGTGTTCAAAAGCCGGGTTGATGTAGTGCTGGGAGGTCTGGTTTAGTGATGATGCTCCTTGTTTGTTGTGTGGGTGTCTATTTTTGTCAGTTAGGTTGACGGTTGGACAAGATGATCTTTAAGGTCCCTTCCAACCTAGAAGATTCTGTGATTCTGTGATTCTGTGACATGAAATTTATGGTGTATTTAGTTCCTCAGGCACACGGGTGCAGAGGCCTTGGTGGTGCTACGTGCTCAGCTGTGCTGCTTCTTCCTCCCCAGGACATCGAGTGCCTGGCGAGTGACGGGATGCTGCTGGTCAGCTGCTGCCTGGTGGGACAGATCCGCGTGTGGGACGCTCAGACCGGCGACTGCCTCACCGTTATTCCCAAACCCAGGTAACTGGGGACTCCACCACCTGGTGCAAAACTGGTGCAAACCCCTCGGTGAGAAATCAGAACCTCCGATGGTCGAAGCGGGAGGGCTGACTCCTGATTTCCCCTTTGCAGGTTGCGAAGGGACAGCAGCGGCATTTTTGATTACCAGGAGAGCTGGGATCACAGTCCTGACGGCAAAAACGGTCTGGATGACTCCTTTGAGAACAGTCACCAGCTCAAGAGGATGCTCGGCCCTCCCCAACCTCCCCTTTTCTGCGACCAGCCCGACCTCACCTCTCTCATCGACACCAACTTCTCCGAGCAGGTGAAGGTGGCCGAGTCGGAGACGCGGCTCCGCTCCGTGGGCAATCGCCAGAAGGAGAGCGGCTACGACTTCAGCAGCCTGGTGGGGAAAGTGTATGAAGAACACAGCTCCTCCAACTGCGTGAGCTTCCCCGGGCTCTCAGCCCCACATGGACAGGCTGGGTTCTGCGTGGGGGGCGGCAGCCCCCGCTCCCTGGGCTGCGGGACCGAGGAGGGAGGCTGCGGCGGCCGCCGGAGGAGCCTGGGGGATGAGTCTTTGACGGGATTTGACAAATCGTCGCCGCTTCCTTCCTGGGGAGGAGACTTGGAGAGCTCTGTCTGGAGCCTGGACCTCCAGGGGAACCTGATTGTGGCCGGTCGGAGTAACGGGAAGCTGGAGGTGAGGAACAAGGCACTGGGGGAGCTGCTGGTGCCGTGGTGGCTCCGTGCGGAGCTGCAGCAGGTTAGGACAGGTCCCAGGGCAGAAACTCTTCTTCTGAGCTGAAAATCTCAGCATTTCAGCTTAATTCACTTTCAGAACAGGACAGGAATTGCATGAAAATGGCTATTATGACCTACAGTCGGCTTCTGAACTATTTGAAACAGCTTCTCATTTGATCAGTACTTTGCTTGTTGTCCTTTCTGGTTCTTGAGTGTTGAGATATTTCATTTCAAAGGAGGTTCTTGGTGTAAGGAAAAGAAATACTCAGTTACTGCTAAATAATAACAACTCTTTGAGTATGAAGAAGCTTAAAGATCGCCCTGTCGAGGTTCTTGGTGTAAGGAAAAGAAATACTCGGTTATTGCTAAATAATAACAACTCTTTGAGTCTGAAGAAGCTTGAAGATCGCCCTGTCATAAAATAATGTTGCTGGTCAGTCACGAAATGAAGCCCCCCCAGTGCCACCCCCTGCCCTGGGCAGGGACACCTCCCACCAGCCCAGGTTGCTCCAAGCCCCCTCCAACCTGGCCTTGAACCCCTCCAGGGATGGGGCAGCCACAGCTTCTCTGGCCAACCTGGGCCAGGCTCTCACCACCCTCCCACCAAACAAGTTCTTCCCCACAGCTCAGCTCCATCTCCCCTCTTTCAGGGTCAAACCCTTCCCCCTCCTCCTAGGGCTCCCCTCCCTCATCCAGAGTCCCCCCCCTGGGGTCCCCACACCACTCCGCTTGGTTGCATCTGTGAACTTGCAGAGGGCACACTCAACCCTGTGTCTTTGTCATTGATGAAGATTTCCTTTGAAGAAAAGAATTCTATTAATCATTTCTGCTGTGGAACGAAAGGGTGTTCACTTGAGAACTTGCTGCTTTGCTTTAAGATAGATCTAAGGACACGTGGGTGGTGTCATCACTGGTGGCAGGGTGGGGTTTGTGGCACAGCACAGGTCTGCTGAGACGTGGTCTTCGATGTACAGGGCTCTTTGGGCAGGATCATGGCATTAACCCCTTCTCCTTCCAGGTCTGGGACGCCATCGAGGGGACCCTCCGTTGCAGTAACGATGAAAGTCAATCTGGCATCACCGCCCTCGTCTTCCTCAACAACAGGTAATTGGGTTTGTGCTGGGTGATGTCCCGTGGGGGGAGGAGAGCACGTGGTGTAGGCCGGGCCCCCGGCCCTGCTTGGGGTCTGGTCTTGGGGCTCCTCACCCCGTGAGAGTGAGGAAGGGCCCCTCCTCACGTGCCTGCGTCTCCCCCTCAGGATCGTGGCTGCGCGGCTGAACGGCTCTTTGGATTTCTTTTCTCTGGAGACACACACGTCCCTGAACCACCTGCAGTTCCGAGGTGAGCGACTGCACGAGCGTTTGCACACCACGTAGCCCCACACAACCACAGAATCATAAAACTCTCCAGGTTGGAAGGGACCTTTCAGATCATTGAGTCCAACCATCAACCCAACACTGACAAACCCACCACTGACCCATGTCCCTCAGCACCACATCTGCCCGGCTTTTAAACACCTCCAGGGATGGTGACTCCACCACTGCCCTGGGCAGCCTCTGCCAATGCTGGACAACCCTTTCCAGGAAAAAAATTTTCCCAATCTCCATCCTAAACCTCCCCTGGAGCAACTCGAGGCCGTTTCCTCTTGTCCCATGGCCTGTTCCTTGGGAGAAGAGACCGACCCCCCCTGGCTACCCCCTCCTTTCAGGGAGTTGGAGAGAACAAGAAGGTCTCCCCTCAACCTCCTTTTCTCCATGCTGAACACCCTCAGCCACTCCTTAGAATGGGCCTCACCTCGCAGGACCTCACCTCCCCGCCCAGGGGACCATCACTGCTCCATTCCTGCTGGCCACACTGTTCCTGATACAATTGTGAGGGGCCCAAAACTGGACCCAGCCCTCGCAGGGCCTCACCAGCAGGAGGGCCTCACCTCGCAGGACCTCACCTCCCCGCCCAGGGGACCATCACTGCTCCATTCCTGCTGGCCACACTGTTCCTGATACAATTCAGGGTGTTGGTGGCCTTCTTGGCCACCTGGGCACACGGCTGGCTCCTATTCAGCCGGCTGCCAACAACAGTGTAGCCTGAGGCTTTGGCACAACCGTGACACACACAAACTGGTCCGTGGTGGTAACTGGTCTGCCATGTGATGGTCCCTTTGGTTCTAGAGTGGCCTGGAAGGGAGAGAAGCTCTGGCCTTCCTCCAGGAGAACAGTTGTGTTCCTAGAGGGATGCCCTGGGATCTGCAAGCTGTCCTCTTTGGAGGACCAGGCCCAGATTCCTTCAAGTTCAGCATCCGGACATCCCCGGTGCCACCCGGTTTCTGCTGCAGGCGAGGCCTTTACCCAAATGTCTCTCCCACAGGAGCCCCGAGCAGAAGCAGCATCCCCTCCTCGCCCGTCTTCAGCAGCAGTGACGTGGTCACGTGTCAGCTCACCCACACCGTGTCCTGCGCCCACCAGAAGCCCATCACGGCGCTGAAGGCCGCGGCGGGACGGCTGGTCACCGGCAGCCAGGACCACACGCTCAGAGTAAGGCTCCCTCCCCTTCTTCCTGGGCTGTGGGGCTGCTTCTCCCCCCTTGCGGGACCTTGAGGGACCTTGTGGGACCTTGAGGGACATTGTGTGACGTTGTGGGACCTTGTGAGCTTGTCTCCTGCCTGGGTTGGGGGACAAAGCAGAAGTGTCTACATGCACAGAGGTAGGTGTGTGTCTGGGCTGGGGTGGTTGGTGGTTCTCTGCCCCGAGAGGGGAGGATGGTGGTGAGGAAGATGAAGTGAGGTCTCCTGCTTCGTTAGATAAGGCTCCGGGGGTGTCCTCCTGCAGTGTGGTCACCCCCGTGGACCCTCACGTCTGCCCCTCCTGCCCCCCAGGTGTTTCGGCTGGAGGACTCGTGCTGTTTGTTCACGCTGCAGGGTCACTCGGGAGCCATCACCGCTGTCTACATCGACCAGGTAGGGCACAGCTGGGCCTGCACCTCCAAAAATGTCCTCCTGTCCGGCTGCTGGGCCACTGATCTCCAGCTGAGCTTTCCCCACCCTCGTTCCTGTGACCTCCTGCAGCCCGGGACGTCCCCGGAGCACAGGACCTGCTTCCCAAGGAACTGGGTTGTGTCTTCAGTAGCTCCTTGTGTCCGTGGCACCATGGGGACGCAGGGTGGGATGGAAAGGACACCGTCCTCCACCCGCTGAGGTCCCTGAGGTGGCTCTGTCCCTGTCCTTGCAGACCATGGTGTTGGCCAGCGGCGGGCAGGACGGTGCCATCTGCCTTTGGGACGTGCTGACGGGGAGCAAGGTGAGCCACATGTACGCCCACCGAGGGGACGTCACCTCCCTCACCTGCACCACCTCCTGCGTCATCAGCAGCGGCTTGGACGACGTCATCAGCATCTGGGACCGCAGCTCCGGGATCAAGCTCTATTCCATCCAGCAGGTTGGCAGCCAGGGGAGGGTGAGGGGTGCTCCTGAGGACCCTTCCAGACCCCGTAGCCACCTCTGCCGGGCTTGTAGTTCTGCAGGGAGCTCTGTTGAAACTCCACGGGCTTTGGAAAACTTCCCTTTTTTGTACAAAAGCTCAGAAAAATGCCAAATGTGTTGCTCGGCCGGGTGGCATCGTCCCACTGCGGGGCTCTCTTGGCCCCCTCCCAGCCCGTGTGGGGCTGGGCTGGCAGAGGGGCTGTGGACACTTGGCCACTTGCCCACCAACAGCCTCCTGCCCCGGGGCTTCTTCCCAAAATCCATCCCCAAACCATCGCTCTCCAAACGGGGTTTGGAGTTTCGAAGCCGATGTGGGTTTATTCACAGCACCGGGGGCCTGGGGGGATCTCTCCTTCTACCAGAGCTCTCCGTGCCATTTTCATACACGTTTTACATCATTATTATAATAATTGGTACC